ACCCAGGGCATCCTCTTTGCACTTTTTTCTTCAAGAAGAGTTGCTCTTCTGCTGCTACTCATCTGCCTATTTGTGGGAATTCTATTCTTCAAATACAGAAGCTAACGGCAGCATAATGAAGTTTTGCGTATCCTCGCTGTTGCTAGATTTCTTTGAGCATGGACAGTTTACAAGGAACAACCAAACTGCACCACAAAATGATATTGATATTATGGGATTGCATCAATAGCATTGGCTGTTTCATTTCCATTCACTTATCAGGCATATTTACTTCTCAGATATTTCCTTAACCGGAATTGACTGTACTATAATTGCCTATTTCTTTGGTCCATTGGCTGTTAACCTTGAAGTGACTGGGGTAGAGCTGGCGAGGCCTTCCCTGTCAGGCCTGACCTCTCACTATGCTGGAGAGAGCGCTACCATGACAACGGCGACAGATGTCAGCTAAGCAATGTGCACCCTAGAAAGACTCCTGTATTGAGAAAATCGATCTTGTAATGGTGCCGCGGAGCACATTCGCTGAACTGCCAAGTGTTCTAGGCTTAATCATTTATTTCATCTAGCAGAGAGAAGAAAACATAAAAGAAATGAAATGAATTTGACCTCTGTCTTTTGAGTGACTTTAGTGCTACACTGAATTCTAGCAAGTGCCTCTTATGAATTTTAAAAAATTACATTAGGAATAACATTTTGAAGTGAAATGACTCTTGTAATGCCAACCCTCCAGAAACATGTTATTTCAAATGTCAGACACATAATAGTCATTTGCTACTTTCTGTGTATGTCCAGGGGTTAGCTCCGTCTTGGGTATGTTTCAGGCAAATTATTATAAAGGAACCAGGAATGAAGCAGACCAGAGCCTACTGCCTTGGCTTTCTCTCTTTTTCTTAGCATAAGGGGTCTTCCTTTGTGCTGATGATCACAGGGCTTAGTGAGTAGCATCAACAGTGTTTCGTATTGACAGCTTCACACCCCTCTCAATTTTATAGTCTTCCAATAGCATGCTTGTGTCTCTGTCTCCAGAGTGGAGTTTGTCTCCATGACAGTTAATCCAGGGACAGCCTTCCATCGCCTTGATAAGCTTGTCATTCAAGCCTTGACACCTCTCATTCATTTGAGTCTGGCCCGCTGGATATGCAAATGATGGAGGACTGAAAACCATAATCCCTCAGCCGTGATGGCCAGTATGTCAATGTCACTATTTTTGGAACGACCACTTGGGTAGTAGTCGGGGAGTGGTGGAAAGCTAAACCAGGGGACACGGAATGCACTTATGACCTTTCTTTGGCTCAGAACTACATTTTTTGAAAAAGCAAACCCTCAAACTAAGACAAACCCCCAAAGCTTAAAGATTGTAGACAAATTTCTCTGATAACCTTGCCCATATAAATAAATATCATTGAGAGTGATTATAGTGAAAAGGATCTCTTAAGATTTTCAATGCGCTATGTCTGTCTCTTGTGCTGTGGGATATTTTATTGCATTTTTGCCCTCAAGTGGAGCTGACGGGAGCCAAGCTTGTAATTTAAATCAATAAGAACCCTTTACCATGGCCATAAAATACTTGGCTAAACCTTTGAAGTGGCCACAGTTGAATGCACAGTGAACACAGTAGTATAAATGTTCCTTAAGATGTATTGTATGAGACCACTACTAGAACAGCATTCAGAGGAACCGGCTGTAAGCATCTTTTGTGACTGATGGGAGAGGGTCCCGCCTGCTTTTGATCATTTACATGCACTGTTCGCCTTGCCACTCCAAGTGGCTCTAAACAAGCCCTCTTAATTGGCACATCACCCCAGCCGCAGCCTTCTGCTTTCCCTTCAGACCTTTTCACTATCTCTTCGGCAGGGTTTCTGGGATCCGGGTCCCCTTCGAAACCAGTAATTCACATCTGATATGCTGTTGTGTTGACTGCCCCTGTTCCTTTGCACTGTAGCCGGGAAAACAGAACAAAGGCGGGTTGTTCATCCCCGTCAGGGGAGCAGGGAGCACAGCGCGTGGGTTCCACAAAGCCGGCAGGGCAGCGGGCTCTGCAGGAAAGCGAAGGCCCCGGCTGCCGCTTACCTGTTTGTTTCTTTTGCAGTTTTTGGAGCAGAGTTCTTCAGCAAACTGTCAGACCTGAAGAAATGGTGTTTGGCTCCCTCTGTTCCTCTCTCTGCCTCACAACTGTTCTCGCCTTTCTTTCCCTTTCTCGGCTCCCTTTTGCTGCCTTTGCTTCTTTGTGTGGATGGATGGACGGAGGGATGGATGAGTGGATGGGCGCTCCTCACTCTTGTCCTCTGTGTCTCTGTCTCTCTTTGTCTCTCTGTCTCTCTCAGATTCTAAAATCCTCTCTGATTCTGTAATAACAGTAAACAGTAGTCATCTGAGTTTGGAATTTGGCCATGATACCTTTGGGACACGCTCCCTCTCCTGGTTGATAATGTTGCAGCTATTATGCTGAAGGTGCAGGCTCAAACCTGGGTTGACCGTCACTTCCTTCCAGAATCCTCAGCTGACCACTTTTCTTGGCCACTGCCTCACGGGAGTCACTTATTCTTGGTGAAAAACCAAAGATAGGGACCAGAGTCACAGCCACTTTCCACTTCGATAAAATACCTTTCCCCCAGTTCCCCCAGTCTTCGAATGGGACCTCCATGTATCCCAGTGGTTAAGGAGATGGATACACACTCTTTGTGGCCTTTCTTCTTGAGGTAGGCACTTTCTGAAGGGCCTCTCTGGGCCTAGATCTGACCCCTGTCGTGGGTCACATGTCATGTATGTTTGCCGCATGTGGTCTGGCCACACGTTGTTTTCTGGCCTCTGCAAACCCAACATGATTAGGTGGCCTATGACATTTCATCTGATGTTTACCAATTTTTTTTTTTTTTTGCTTGTATGTGACAGCAGAGTAGGCAGGGCCTTGAAAATGCACTACTTCATATTGTGTAAATGGCACTTAGAAATGTGTGCAACGGTAAGCTATCAGGGCTGAAATCAGATTTTAAAGACATACCAATGAGATTTAGTGCTTGGAACTGGTCTGGGTCCTGATTTGAACAAACTAACTGTGAAAAGGTTTTTTTGTTGAGACAACTGGGGACTTTTGACTATGGACTGATTATTAGATCACTTAAAAAGTTCTACAGGGGAAAAAAATACTACTTGCAAAGAAACGTACAGAATAGATAAATTTGCACCATAGATGATAATGATTCAAACTGGATGATGAGCAGAAGAAAGGCTCATGGCACTATTCTCTCTATTTTTCTATATGTTTTAAAATATTCTGTACTACAAAGCCAGAAAAAGTCAACATGCCCCTTCAGGATTGCACAGTCACCACATTTACACCTACTGTTCAATGGAATTTTATCTCATAGGTCTTTAACTGTTTTCCTGTCAGCCTTTTACTTCACATGGACAAATCATGCTTCTGTTATATGACTGTTTGAAAGATATCTCTATCTCTTTGCCATCTGTGGCTTGAGTTTTAACATTTGACGTGGGAATATTTGCCTGCCTGCTCTCCCGATTTGGACTGTAAGCAGCTTGAAAGCAGGCCTGTTTCAGGGGCACCTGGGTAACTCAGTTGGTTAAATCTCCAACTCTTGGTCATGAGGTTAAGTCCCACATCGTGCTCCATGCTCAGCAAGGAGTCTGCTTGAGATTCTCTCTCTCCCTCTGCCCCTCCCCTACACTGGCACATGTGTGCTCACTCTCTCTTTCTCAAAGAAAAAAGAAAAAAGAAAAAGAAAGCAGGCTTGTTTCTTACCTGTCGGGATTTCCTACCTCGACTCTCGCAGTAGAAGGCCCAGAACAGGCTGGAACACATAAACCGTGAAATCTAAGCAACTGAATGCAACAAAAGTCCATTTCCTGTTGTGTGTCCGGCATCCCTGTTTTGTCTTGCAGCTGTGCTCTTGGGAGCAGGTGGCCTTCCATGAGACTCCAGCAGGGCAAGAGAGAGATGGAGGTAGCTGGCTGGCTTTGGACTGCCTTGTCCTTGGAACGTCCCACAGAATTTTCCCCGCAGTCCATAGGCTGGAACTAGTCACATGGCCCCACAACCGCAAGGGAGGCTGGGATATGGAGGGGAGCATGTGGCTATTTGGTGAGCATGAACCTCTGTCACGCAGAGCTAAATGATGTTTGTTGAAGCTGCTTCTTACCCCACATGCATATGCCTCCTGAATTTCAACATGAGAGAATGCCAGGGAAGGATGCTTTGTGTCATTTGTATAAGATAAGAAAATGATAACCAGACTGTTTCCTCCTTCTCCTTCTTCTTCTTCCTTTTTTTTTTTTTTTTTTTTTTACCACACACTGGATTCTTTTCTCTGCAGCTAGAACCCTGTCTCCAGTTAATGGCAAGACCCCAGCGCTCTAACCAGCCACTGTTCCAAGTATTTGGCTCTGTGGCTATGACAATTGGAATTGGAGGCAGAGGGACCCGTCTTATGTCTGTGCCTAAAGATGTAGCTCTACCCTGTCTAGGGACCAGCTCTGGCTGCTATAAGCTGAGGGTGCTCATAGGATGGAGTGGGACACTGATTGGGGCCTACACAGTTAACATAGTAATAACAAAAAAATAACAGTGGTATATCAGACCATTGTAATTATACATTATAGTGAGAAGTTTTATCTAAGGAATGGACACCACTAACTAAATAGAGAAAATGTAGACTCTTAAGCCAGGTACACATTGCTCTGTATATGCTATGCTACTATCTTCCTCAAATTTAGTGATTGACAGGTACCTGTAGATATTTACTTATAGGTAAATGGTCTATATGAATTGGTGTTACAGACCTCTCTACCTGCTCTGTTCTGCCTCCCTTCCACCCCCTTCCTCCATGACTTTTTGTTCCAGGCTCACTACTGTGAAAATGCCATTTCTTGTCCGTGGTGCAGAATGTGCCCATTAAAACTGATATGAATGAGAAAACCAATCTCCAATTACCACACCAGCCATTGTTTTGGATGTAAATTTCATTCACTTAATTTTTTCCCAACAGGTACATATCGAGCATGTGTAAGCCCTGTGTGCCTAGGGTGATGCCAAAGAGCTAGAAGTTGTGACCTAGTTGAGTAACTGTCTGCTTGGATCCTATGGATGAATCCCTCAGCGTTGTTCAAGCAAGGAAGAATCCAATGGCAAAGATTCACCTGGGGAGACAATGGAAAAAGGGATCTCAGGGCTAACTTGGGCCAGAATGAGGCAGAGCTACCACCTGGAGCAGGGGACAGGAACCGTCAGGACACAAGGCGCCCCAGGTCAGAGAATCCCTGTCTCTCTCTGGGGTCACAGGCTCTGTCTTTCCTTGCATCTCTGCTTCTCTGTGGGCCTTTGCTCCATTATCTCTCTCTGCTGACTGGCTTCTGCTACCTCATGGCATTTGTCCCCATTTGTGTCACATTGCTGTGGCTCTGGCTTGACATGGCCCTGCCTGGATCTCATAGCACCCTTTCAACTTCTTGTCACTCTCATGGAATTCCCTAGCTCAGACCCCTGACAAAGACATTCTGATTGATCCAGTTCTCTTTCTCTCCACTATGTTTTAGGTTCTATACCAGGGGGCATTGGGAAGCTTTTGGTTTGGTGAACATGCCTGTTCTAGTTGGCCATGATGGATTGGGGGGGTAGGGGCCTGTTGTGTTGTACAGTGCATGGACACATGGATGACAAGAGCTGTGGGTGGGGCAGGTTCCTCAGAAGAGGCTGTGTTATTGCAGCCCTGCTGGGGCTAAGAGGTGAAGGTACTCAACCAGGTAGATACCTTATGAATGCTGATCTGAGAGTCTCCTAGAAACAATGGGCAGCCATTCAGGGCATTAAGAGGAGGGTGATCTATTTGTCTCTTTAAATGGCCCCTGTGACTGTGTCCTGGAGAGTGAGCTGGAGGGCCACAGATAGAGCGACACTAAGGTCATTTTAGAGATAGAAGAAGAACTGGATGGGTTACCCTGTGTTTGGCAGTGAATGGTAGTCATCTCTTGCCCCTCTTCCCCTGGATATCCGGGCTCTATCACACTGGTCCCCTTTTAGTTCCTCAGATTCCCTTAGCTCATTTCCTCCTCAGGGCCTTTGCACCCACTCCTCATGTGCCCTTTGTTGGAACTTTCCAGCTCCACCTACTTATCCTTCAGTCTCAGCTCCAGTGTTACTTCCCCAGAAAGCCTTCTCTGACACCCTTCCACAAGCAAAATAGGTAAGACCCTTAATTCACAATTAGTTATTTAATGTCTGTTCTTCCATTAGAATGCAAGTCATTTGAGTTCAAGGATTATGTTAACCATATTAAAAGAAGAATCCCCTGTACCAATATGCTGCCTGTTAGATAGTGGGACCTTAATAGATATATTTTGAATGAAGTATGCTGGCTTTTCTCATACTGTCTTGTTCAATCCTCCTTACAGTTTTATAACTGCATTTTTATGGATGTGCAAACCAAAGCTTAGCGAATACAAGGCAAGAAAGTGGCAGAACCAGGATTTGAAGCTAAGAGTGTTTAACACCAAAGTCTTCACTCTTCATATCACAGCAGGAATAAGGTGAGGTTATTTTATTCAAGCAACCTAATTCAGATTAGGCCAGAACACTATGAATTCATTTTGTTCCCTTGCTCCATCCTACTGAGATCAATTTAATTCACTTAGTATTTATGGAGTGCCATGAACTCAATTCACTATGTTAAATGGGAGGGCAAGAAGGGACAGGCTGGGCTTCAAGGAAATGCTTGTAGTAAGCTGGACGTAGAGGGCCTCAGGAGGAGGAGAAGCTCGATGCCTCCCAGAGGAGCAGCCTGGCCAAAGGCCCGGGGCATTGAGTCATTAGGAATGACTTTTGGGGTTGGCAAGGTCCTACTGTCCCCAGTCCCTGCTGAGATGGGTAAAACATTGAGGCTGGCTGCTTCATGGAAAGCACTTGGCTTTGGAGTCCCCCTCTGCTACTTTCTAGCTGAGTAACAGTGGGCAAGATACTTCCACTCTCCCAATTTGCAGGGTTGTGGTGAAGATTTTACAAGAAAATGCAGGTATAGCACCAGGCTCAGTGCCTAGCATAAGGTGTTGATGGATATATGTGACCTTCCATTACCACTGAGCTACTGGGCAAGCATCCTGTCTGCTCATCCAGATGGAACAACCTGGGAGGGTGCAGAGAAACATTTCATAGTGGGGGGTCCAGAAAGTCAGTGGCCAAGAGTATCAGAAACAGTGACAAGAAGATACCCCCACTCCCCCCTTTTTTATTGTTGAGATGGCACTTATATAACATAAATTAACAATTTTAAAGTGTACGACTCTGTGGCATTTAGTACATTCACAGTGTTGTACAACTATAACTTGTGTCAAGTTCCAAAGAATTTTCATCACCCCAAGAAAAACCCTGTACCTGATCAGCAATCACTCCCCCAGTCCTTCCACCTCTCAGCCCCTGGCAACCATCGATTTGAGTTCTGTCTCTAAGGGTTTACCTATTCTGGATATTTTGTATAAATACAATCATACGGTATATGTGACCTTTTGTGTCTGGCTTCTTCCACTCGGCATCATGTTTTGGGGGTTCATCCATGTTGTTGCATGTGTCAGAATTTCCTTCCTTTTTTATGGCTGAGTAATATTCCTCTGTATGTCCATATCACCTTTTGTTTATCCATTCATCTGTGGATGGATATTTGGGTTGTTTCTACCTCTTGCTATTGAGTATAATGCTACTATGAACATTCACAAACAAGTGTTTGAATACCTGTTTTCAATTCTTTGGGGCTTATATACCTAGGAGTAGAATTGCTCAGTCATAAAGTAATTTTCTGCTTAATTTTTGGAGAAACTATCAAACAGTTTTCCACGGTGGCTACACTGTTTTGCGTTCCCACTAGCGATGCACAAAGAGTTCAGAGTTCTCTTCAGCTACCACTTGCTTTCTGGTGGCTTGGGTTATAGCCATCCCAGTGGGGAAGAAGTGGTTTCCATTTGCGTTTCCTCCCATCTTTATTTTCTCAATGCGGAAGAGGAGTTGGGTCTTCGAGCCTTCTCTGACTTCTCAGACCATCCCTCGTGGTTAACATGTTAAAGAGGCTGCCACAGGGAAAGAGGTCCACTGATATACTTTGAGCTGAATTTTAAATTAGGACAAACCATGGAAGGCCATTTGGGAGCACTCCTCATTGAAATTACAAATGCATACACACTTTGACCCAGAGTTCCAAGTCTAGGAATCTGTTTTATGGATATACTCCCATGTGAACAGAATGATGTGTATATATGGTTGCTCACTGCAGTGTTATTTATAACAGTGGCAGATGGGAAATGAACTCAGCGCTCCTCACTGGGGGACTGGTTAAACAAATTTGGGGACGGGCCTACAATGGGGTACTGTACAGTTGTAACAAATATGGAGGCACCTCTTTGTGGACTGATACAGAAGGAATTCCAAGACAGATTGTCAAATGAAAAACAAAGCAAGATGTAGAACAGTGTTTCAATAGGTTGCCCATCATATAAAAATGGGAGAAAAAAATGTGTGTGTGTGTATGTGTGTGTGTGTATTTTCTTGCATATTCATGAAATACCTCTGGCAGAGGAAATTGGTGATGGGGGACAAGAATGGGAAGTACAGTATTTATATTCTACCTTCTTGTGCTTTTGGAATTTTAAACTGTCCAAATATATTTTTCATTCAAAAAATAAATGAAAGAAATTAAAATAAAGAGAATTCATAATCCCTAAAGATCTCACTGATTTGGGCTCTGTTATTCTGATTTTATGGTCAGTTTGGTAGGACATGGACTCTAATGTAAGATTTTTTTTTTTTTATGCAAGCCTATGCCAGGGATAGGATTGTAGGAGAAGTAATTCAAACTCCCATCCTTCCCCCTCCCACTGCAGTCCTGGCTGCAGCCACAGCTTGCTGACTTGACCACAATTTGAGCTTGAGTCAGCCAGCCTGAGGCCAACCCAAGTAACGTCCTGCAGCACGCCGTCCCTCAGGCCTTCAGACCACAACTGAAGGACCAAAGGAGCAGAGGAGCAGATGTGGGTGGCCCTAGGCACTGGATGGAGATTGTGTCCTAAGTACATCTTCGAACCTGAGACTTGGAGCTCAGTGCCACTCCCCTACCAGGCAGCCCAGAGGGCTTGGAGCAGACCAGAAGGCCCCAGACACGGCTGAGTGCTGCCACTTTCTTGCTAAGTGACCTTGGGCAGATCACCACAAGTTTCTGAACCTCTGTCTTCTCATCTCTAAATGGGGCTAATCAAGGCAAGATTGTTGTGTGTTGAGGAGGAAAACTAAGAGGGCTTTTAAAATGTAAGCTCTCTGAAATGCATAGAAGAACATGAAGGGTTATCTTGAAAGTCACTGAAAAGTCCACATTGGCTAAACGTCTCTGTGTGTGAGGTGTTTGAGAGCTGAGGAGACCACAGATGAAAGTAACACATTTTCCACCCTTCAAGGTTTTGAGGGCTCATCGGCTAGTGGGAGAGGCGGATGTGAGACGATTTATTACAGCCATGTGTTCAGCGTAGAACAGAATAGAATCTATTGTGTAAGGGGACAGAGAGGAGGGCATCCATCCTGCTGGGGACTTCAGCAAATGTTCCAGGCACCAGACTATATTAGGGTAGTATCTGGAAAGGGAAGTAGGAGGTTGCCAGGTGCACACAGAACATTCCAGGTGGAGGCGACAGTCTGTGAAAAGGCAAGACAGGAGAAAGAGTAGAGTGTCTTTGGGCACTTCCACGCAACTGTCTGCTACAGACATATGGTGTGCGGGAGGAGGCGGGCAGAGGAGGGACGAGCAGGACTCCTATCAGAAGCCTTTTTATCGTAGGTCACAGCCAGAGGGCGCAATAAGAAATATAGAGCAAATAAGTCAATATGGAGCAGCAAGGAATCATTTTATAGAACCCCTGAGTGAGCTGTAAGATACAGAAGACCCTGAGCCACCCGATTTTTCAGTCCAGGCAGTAGATGAGTCTGGCTCCCAGTCATGAAGTCAGTCCGGGCATTGTGTTTTCCTGGCTGAGATGTCCATCCTTCCTCCTGACAACAGGGCAACCCAGAGACAAGCTGTCCTCACCGGCAGTCCCTTGTCCCACAGCATCCATGAGCACAGGAAGTTGCTGTGTCCCAGGATGAAGTCACTGATCTAGAACACAGGGCGCTCTCTTATTGGCGAGAGCCGCCTTGGAGAAGTCTTCTGCTCAGGGTAAGTCCCAAGATCAAATGTGAGACACATGCTTCATGCTTTCCAAACCTCAGACACGATCATGTGCCTCCCCCAATTTGAAAACTGCCTTGGGTCTTCTCTGACTGCAGAATCCAGCCTAAACTGCTTGGCCTGATGCCCTGGGGTTATCCACAACAGGCCCCTCACCTTCCCTGTAGTCTCAGCTGCGGATACTAGGGGGAATCACCTCCTCTTCTGGATTCTCAGCAGTTGGCACTTTCCTCTCTAAGAGCTCTTTCCAGATTGTTCGTTTTTGTGCCCATTTCTTAGGAAGTTTGTGGTTCCTTGAGGATAGCGGTCATGTGTGACTCTGTAGTTTCGGGGTCCAGCTGTAGGTCTGGCTCATAGTAGGTGTTTAGTAAATGCTTAAAGAATGGATGCCTGGGGGCAATGGGGAGGGAGGTGTGATCTCTGGCAAAGATGTAGGGAATGTTTTCTGAAAAGAGTGAGGGGTCAGGAATGGTGAGTGGGATCCTCTTCTTCCTTTTCTCCTGCTTTTAAAAAAATTCTCTCCCTCTTGCACTGCTGCCCTCACATCTATGTTTTATGCATCCTTAATTCTCCAGAAATACCTTCTGTGCTGGCCTTTATGGATTTGGGACATGGATACTCACATAACGCCCCCACACAAGAACAGCTATCGTGGCTGATAAATCAGAGATCTCTAATGCAGATTTCTACTTTACCATTCTTCATTGAATATATTAGGAAATATTAGTCACAATGAAAATGAGAGGTAGGAGAAACATAATTCAGTGTTCTGACACAAGGTTGTTTTCTATGGTCCACAGGCTAATTTTTTTTTTTCAATTAGAATTAGAAACTGATGATACTTTCACTTTTTCCCTTAGGAAAATATTTATGGATCTAGCCATCTTACTTTGAGGGTAATTCTCCGATGATTCTGCCTAAATGTTTCTCCTTTAATTTCATCCCAAGGCCAAGCTTTAATGCTTGAAATGATTAGTTCATCCTGCAACTAATTTAGAATTTGAGTTAACACAGACACAGTTTTCATGTATATTCTCATAATATTTGAAATAACCCTTTATCTCCAAAGTGTCAGAGTTGTACTTACAAATGTGCAGAATTTCATCCAAGGTGGTCACCAGTTTATAAACCAAGGGCTCAACAAATCAAGGCCTTCTGAATCATCAGGCCCTACCTACTATTTTTAAAGACTTTAATGCTTATGACGCATGAATAGGTATTGTAGGCTTATTACAAATTTCACATTTTAGTCAGTTGGTCTCATTTACTTATTAAGAGCCATTTATAGAAAATTCAGTTCACCCGACTATCTGCATAGGGTAATGTGGGCAAAGACTCGGTAAACTCGTGAGAACTATACACCTTTTGGGCATTATATTAATGTCTGCATGTCACTGCACCTGCCAGACTGCATTTTAAAAAGGTTGAAACACACTACATATATTTGTCTACCATTTCTGTTACAAATAAATCTTTATTATTTTCCACATTAAGATAAACGAAACCAGAGAAGGGATGTAATTACCAAACATAAAGATCCAGGAAGAAAATGATCTTTTCTTTTCTTTTTTTCTTCTTTCTTTCTCTCTCTCTCTCTTTCTTTCTTAAAAATCTTATTTATTTACTTGAGAGAGAGAGAGAGAGAGCAGGCATGAGCACATGAGCGGGGCGAGGGGTAGAGGGAGAGGGAGAGAGAGAATCTCAAGCAGACTCTTCACTGAGTATGGAGCCCGACATGGAGTTCAATCTCACGACCCTGAGATCATGACCTGAGCTGAAATCAAGAGTCGGACACTTAACTGACTGAGCCACCCAGGCGCCCCTCATATCTTCCTATATCCTCAAGAGAAACTAACTCTTGCTTCCCAGGTACTTGCATTTTCAAGTCGGGTAATAACCTTCATCCAAAGTGAGGGAGCCCTTCCACTGGAGATAAGAAGTGACTTAGCCATAAAACCCAACACTATCCCTCCCCACAATGTGCTTCCTGCTGGTTTTCCTTCCAGCAGAGCTGGTTTGAAGGCTCTGGATTTTTGGCCATGGCTTCAGGCTGCTGTCCTATGTGGCTAGCCTCAGAGGGCCCTCTGAAAACCCAAAGAAGCTTCATCTGCCAGGGGATTAATTTCTTGTCTTAAAATCATTCTTAAGAGATAGTATTTAAACATTCGCTCTCTTGACCCTAGAATTCTCTTCTCAGAGTAATAGGTCAATTACACAGGTGGCGACTTTCTCCCCACGGCAGCTACAGGGATCGTATCTGGTAACCCAGCTCCTCACTGCACTTGCAATACCATGCTCCTCCCCAGGGCCTACAAGGTCCTTTAGGATCCTGCTCCCACTACATCCCCAGGTGATGCCTCTGCCTCTGCCCTTCACCCACCCTGCTCTGGGTCCACTCTTTTCTTGTCTTTATCAGCACCATCTTCATTTTCATCCTGGATCTTTATGTTTGGTAATTACTTCTTTATTTGTCTATTTTCTTCCCCCACCAGACTGTGAACTCCATGGGAACAAACACTACAGGTCTGCTGTCTCATTGCCATCCATCCAGCCCTGGCAGATGCCAGGCTCAAAGTTGATATTGTTGGCAGACTGCCAGTTGTCCATCTGAGTCTGTTTTCCTTCCTATAGTAATAGGATTTAAGCTGCATATTGCCTGGTGCCCAGCTAGACCACATGAGCAGCATCCTGTAGGGCTGGGTAGCTAGATACCCAAGTCATCACCTGAGGAAGGAGAGAGGAAGTGACGTGTGTAACTTCTGCCTCATTTGCTCAGAAACCAAGGCCTAGCTCCCAGACTGGTACTCACCTTCCTGAGGGTAGGAACATGGCGGTGCCCATGTTCAGCTTGACCACATAAACAGGGCACCACTCTGGATGGTGACAGAACAGCTGGATGAAAGGTGAAACATGCATCTAAATGACTATATATGGCAGAGCTCCCCCAACCTGGACCATTTGCCTTATAATGTTACATGAGTGTGGGATAAACTTGTGCTTTTAAAAGCCACTGTATTGGGGTGCCTGGCTGGCTCAGTCTGTAGAGCATGGGACTCTTGATCTTGGGGTTGTGAGTTAGAGCCCCACATTGGGTGTAGAGATTACTTAAATAAATACATAAATCTTAAAAAAAAAAAAGCCACTGTATTTGGTGGTCTCTTTGTTATTCAGCTTAGTTTTCAACCTGACTGACACACTGTTGAATAAATAGTTGTTGAACCATCAGGGGCTTGCCATATTACCCTGTGCTATCATATCATGAGGGCACATCATCACTGGGGGCAGTCAGCACCAGGAATCATTCACTAAGCACCTGCTGGGTACTGGAAAACACACACACCATGAACTGTCCTATGCTGGTTGGGTATCCTCATCTTTTCCCACTCAAAAGTTCCCTTGTGGCTTGCAGTGTCTCACTGCATCGTTGACAGATTTTGCTTTGCCTTTCAAAAGGGACCAAACTTGAAAGAATGTCACAAGCCATGCAGCATGTGTTGAAGATTCTATGTCGCTCTGTGATAAAAGTTCTTGTGTGAGACAGAAATGCCCTCTCATGGCTTGTGGCAACCTGTGACCCACATCATAGTGGAGAGTCCTGCCCACTTCACAGTGCTGTAGTGACTGGCACAGTTCATGTCTGTGGCATTTCATACCTGAACTTTTAATGTTAGACAAGTTTTTCCTGAAACTCTTGTTCCATGATGGTGGGTGGTTGTGTTTGTTTACTGAACTTTTGGGGAGTATGCTAGCTGTGAGTCATGATTTCCCTAAGGAATTGTCAATTATGGCTTTAATTATGGAAAAAAGTTTTCCCTTTCTCAATGAACTTTTCTACTTAGGTGCAGTATATTTTTAAGCTCCGCTATTTTTGAAGAAAGACATTTAGTAGTCATTCAGTTAATCTCTTACCTCCTCCCAGAGGTAGCATTTAAGAAGTCGTCAGGATTTAGCCTTGTTTTAAGGCCATTTCTGCAGCAAACAGACTCTGAGATGGGGATTTGTATGCCGGAAGTTGATTGGAGAATGCTCTGGAAACAATACTTGAGAGGGATGAGGGAAGGAGAAGGGCACAGAAGGAGGAGTTGAACTTCAGTGAAGCTAGGATCTAGAGCTAGAATGGCCCTTCAGAGCGGTCCTATATTGAGGCAAGGGGGCTGGGCTTTTATAGTGCTCCTTCCTCCCATTTACCTGTCATGAGATATGGCTAGAAGGGAAAGTAACCTCTGATGAGGCAGCTCCCTTAGCCAAGGGCAAGGCCTAGAGAGGGCCTAAGATGTGAGTTAGAAGTAGCTCAAACTCCCTGCAACTAGGCGGGTGAGTGTCATGGTCCTAAAGAGGGCTCTAGGCGGCGCTGTCTGGCACCCACTTGCAGGGCTTCAGCATCGAATTAGCACCTGAATAACGCTAGCCTTAGGAGGACACTACCTTGCCCATTTTGTTCCTTGCAGTATCTCCTGCTCTTAGAACAATGCCTAGCGCCTAGCAGAAGCTCAGTAGGTATTTGCTGAATAAATAAATGAAAGCAAGAACACGCGGGATTACTCAAGGGATATACAAATTATGATACCTTTAATAACCTTTGTCAAAATTAAGGAAACTTACTTGACTTTAAACTTCCAAGTAGAAGCTGGAATCTTTTTTTTTTTTTTTTTTAAAGATTTTATTTATTTGACAGAGACACAGCGAGAGAGGGAACACAAGCCGGGGGAGTGGAGTGGGAGAGGGAGAAGCAGGCTTCCCAGAGAGCAGGGAGCCCAGTGCGGGGCTCGATCCCAGGACCCTGGGATCATGACCTGAGCCGAAGGCAGACGCTTAACGACTGAGCCACCCAGGTGCCCCTAGAAGCTGGAATCTTTATAGATGTATTGAAACTATACATGTATCATAAACTCTACCATTTCCTGTATTTGGACAGATTGTGGGAAAATGTTTTGAGTCCACTTGAGTAGTCAGGCAAGTGGCAGATGAGTTTCTTGTGAGGCAGGAAT